CAACGAAATTATCTCATTTTTTAGCGGCGCCAAATGTTTGATGCACTGCCGCGTTTTATTGTCCCATTTCAATCAATTAGTACGCACGTACGTGTCTTGAAAGAGACCAGGCTTTTATTTTTATTCCGGGCACTCATTGTAATTGGTTTCCATAATACCATCATATGGGCACGATACGTGTGTTCCAACGAACTCGTTAATGAACACTTTAAAAATCTATACGCTCGTCACGTATTCAAATCGAATGCTTGTTTCGCTTGTAGGTGCGCGTTAAGTCCTGTGTGCGTGTAGTCGCGGAAGAAATATATGTCTTGACTTTTTTGGAATTTCCTGCGACTTACGTGTGGAATTCGTGATAAAACGATTTCAATTATCTAAGGTTGTGCAAGCATTTGAGAATTTTAAAATATAGATTTTCTTTTATATATACATTTCGTAGGTTGATATTTAAGGAATATTATTAAGCGAGTCTGTTATAGATATGTAGAAAATTTACATCATAAAAGTTTGAATAAAACAATCGTTTTATTTTTAACTTATCAACTTCGACTTTTGTACTTGCTTTTTTAAGCAAATTTAGTAACTGAGCCTCCTTTAATCTGAGTCTTCATTTTATATTTATAACAAAAAAAAATGTCCTTCCTAAGAACTTTCTATTCAAACTGTTGCTATTTCTTTTAATTTTCAAAATTTCGCAGGGAAGTCCAACCATCGCATTATAAAAACAATTTTTAAAGTAACTTATTTCATGAGTTCAATTGTTTGCCCCTTTAAAATTTCCTAATACTCTTAATAAATTTAAATCATCCTTTAATTTACCTTTCAAATATTTTTATACGTGTATATTCCCAAGTTGTTACATTCTTCGAGATCGTGCTAAGGGTAATAATAACGATAGGAGACCGTAATAATAATTACAATGGTCCGATTAACTTCGTGCAATCGCCATCCAATACTTACCATATCGAATGTCATCGAAATGATTTTTGTTGTCCGATTTTTCCTCCAAGAGTCGCTATTGTAACATGTATTTACACATATGCATACATATATATTTGTCTACAACACTACTTATCCGTTCATAAACATACGTTCACCCACATGCAACAAAATCCCTATTCAGAGCGGGCATTAATTACCAGCGGCTGTGCATAAAGCAACAAGCGGCCGAAGCGATTGCATCTGCTGTTGGCCCATTGGAATGGACATTTTTCGAAGCATAAAGATTGGGCGGCTCCCTTTTATTATTCACTACGATAGTGCGGTAAAACGAATTCGCAATAAACTGTGAGAAACATAAAGGCCGCGCTATGCAAGCGGCTTTCATTAAACGTAACACTGATTAAAACCGCTTTCGATATATTCTAGCACAGAATTTCCTCCTCGTGATTTTTTGGACATCATAGAACCATTCTTCGATGTTCCCTAGGGCAAAACAATCAACAGTTTTTCGATTTACAGGTTTACTATCACTAGGAACAGCTTCCGAATTACGTTCCTGATCTAATTACAATTAATAAACTGACACAGATTTATTTGATTTAGTTGGCCAATTAACTACTTGGATAAGAGAAAACACTAGAAGAAATTTGACCAAGTATCTTTGTAAAAATTAATTGTACCAAGATATTAACCCTTTGAATGCCAAGGAACGATATATCGCTCCTTCATGTACTTTCAACAAGTTTCTTTTTAATTTTATTAGTAATAAAGGAAGCCTAACATGTTCTTAGTTTTGTGCAGACATTTTATGAACTTTAGAGCAAAATTGACTGAAACATAAATTTTTCTTTACAATCATACATCTTTATTTTAAATTGCTTAGCATTTCTCGAATATGTATAAAAATTTCGCTTGGTACTCAAAGGGCTAATCTAAGAATTCGAATCATTGAGTTCGAATTTAACACGTTCGCGATCAGCGTCGCGTATTTGTAACGTTTAATATTTTGTATCTTGCATAAAGAAAATTAAACTAGTTTCACGTGTGTTTGTATTTAAAATCGTAACGCGTGGTGAAAGATGTAGGAAATTGACGTGATTATTTATTTAGAAAGTTCTGTCCGATAATGTCATCTGAAATTTCCAAAGAGAAATAATTTTACAGAAATGGAATCCACAGATTACATCACACTAGAAAAAAGTCATTAGTGACGATGGAAATGATTTTATTCAGTAAATATTCATAAATGTATTGGAAACATATTATTTCCTTTCAATTCGGAAACGGACAGAACTATTCGATAGACCTAATATAAAAACGATTTTTTGCTTTAACACTTTGACTGCCACGTCACTCAAATTCGGATGACACCGTTATTCAGATAAAGTTATTGGACTTGACTTTCTGGTTTCGGCTTTATTAACCCCTTGTCCTACAATATCGTGCCACACTCGTAGCGAAGATTTCAAATAGAATTTAACAAACATAAACATTATTCAATTTGTTTGAATGCAAATCACATACTATTCCTTTGTTATCAGTGATTATACCGTAGATCACACGTTGATATAGATTGATACTGGAATTTTCCTTATTTTCAATAAATTATTAATAACAAAGTAGTTACATTCATTACAGTTCAGAAAGAAAGCATAGGGCAAGGGGTCATAAAAATTATTTCAACTGCATAGATGTTTTGATGAGCGTTTACTTGGGAGTCAAAGTGTTAATAAAATATTGTAATTATGAAAATTGCTGATGGAACAAACGTTGCTCGCGACCGTGTTAACAAAGACTCTGGACGATCTAGATCGCGGAAAGTAGCGACACTGTTAATCGAGGTCCTACTGTATTGTATCAGGTAAATTTCTCTTTCACTCGGAAAGTGTCAATTTCAAGGCACGCGAAAACCATTCTCTGCTAATGTAAATATCTTTTCACACGTTGCACCGTGTACGCGTATGTGGTTAGAATAATATTCGAAACAGGAATAGGATACTTTCTAATCCAGGTAATAATAGAGAACAGATTAAGGAGGTACATACACACTTGCTCGAATGGAGTCTGAGAAACTGATTCTATCCTTTTTCTGTACCTTGTTGTGGAGCATGAGAATATTAAAAGATTTTATGAAAAAATTTAGAAAACTTTTGAACATTAAAAAAGGAGTTATATAAATAGGAATTAGCAAATATCCTCTATATACGAATTAACAAGTGATTTATGATTTCGAAATGTTTTATTATTACAAGAAATGGTTAGCAACTTTTAAGTAACAATGGAGTATAATATTTCAATGCGTATACATTTATAATTTAACTTTATATATGGATGTAAGACAGTTTGTATTTAGCAGGTTTTATTTTAAAAACACTTTGATATCTTGACTTTTCACATAATTTTATACTATCGAATGGATTGACTATTGGCTGTTTCATCTTTTGAAAAAGTTTCTTTGAATCTGATGTTTTCTTCATTTCATCCATTAATAGAATCAGTGTTAATGATATTTATATAATACCAATCGAATAATACTGGTTACTCTATGCGATTAAACGTTTATTTTCCATATTTTGTGCCTATAATGTTACACAATTGAATTTGTATAAAAGTGTATCATTATAGGACGACTAATATAAGAACGATTAACGCACGTTTACTAGGAAAAACAAATATTAGTAAAATATCGATAAACCGATATACGAAATTAAAAAATCTGTAAACTCTTTCGCATCGAAGAAAACTAATCCTAATAATTATTCATTTTTTACAAACATTCCAGCAAATACCACTGTAATCCCCTCAACACAGTGGAGATACACAAATCCCAAAAACATTTTATTTCATACTGATACTATATACTTGTATATAAAATTTATTGAAAAAATACATATTAGTTACTAACAAGTTTTATCGCATTCATAGCTCAAAACTGTTTCAACCTGCAACCCGAATAACATATTTTTTCGATCCCAATTCATTAATATGTATCGCTGAAAAAAATATAACTAGGCTGAAAGTCGTATTAAAATTGTTAACACGTTGACTGCCAAATCACGAAAATGTCCAGAAGTAAGACAAGCAATCAGGAGAATCTCCCAGAACCGAAGTAAGTATTCAACGAAACGCAAATTAAACAATTTAGATTTATCACAACAATTGCACTCTAACCCTTCGCACTCAAGAAACAACTATCACAACCCGCCGTTGCTTGTTCCAATGCGGCTAAATCATAAAGTTTAATATTTCAACATTCAATTTCGCCATAACACATAGAACATTCAAACAAGATAATCCGTAACCACTTTTTTTTTGTCAATTGTAAAGAATGTCATCGACATTTCACTAGAAAACGATGAATATAGCGAAAAAATGTTTCGAGTGCAAAGGCCAAGCTTTCGCAACTCACAAACCCCATCAAAATTTGGTTACACCGATGCATCATCGTAAAATCCAACCTCCGATTCGTAGATAATCTAGACAAAACCTAAACGATTATGTCATCCGTGGATGAGCGGCGGTCAACGTGTCAAGAAACGAAACGACGGGACACGTCTGTCCCGAGGAAAGGAGAGATCAAGCGGATCGTCGGCGTGCGGTGTTCTGTTATAAATATTATTTTCAGCGGGTTGCGTGCGCCATGCGAACAGAAGAAGCTAGAGGAGTGCAAGCAAACACAGGCTCAAGCATATAGGTTAAGGATAATAGGACACTAACTTGTGGATTGAAGGGTCTTTGCATTCTCAGAGCCTCCGGCAGCCCCCCGGACTGTGAAAACACGACCAGAGACGGCGGCGGTAGATGATTTGGCACGTACGCAGAATTATCCATCTAGAACAGATACCGACGTGTTCCATTTCCTCAATCTGCCGTGGATCCTTCGCGTGCACCGATTCGCGCGCGAGGACCGCGGATCGTCGCGGACGCGAGTCGCCGAAAAAATTGCGGGACGAACGTTGGTGTCAGGTTCCTCCGCGTCCCGCGTGGAACCGACGAAAAATTCATGAAAAGTGACTCGTTCGCTGGTAAAGATATCCGCCCGTGTAAGCTGAGGAACTGTTGTAACTTGGACGGAGATCAAACGTGAAAATACTGTTTATATCGAATCGAATATCTAGGCGGAGTTTTTGCAATGATTAGAAACATGAGACCCGCTGCGTTATATTATCGCTCGCTTTCAACGCTTTACGGCACGGATAGCTCATCATCGTATCGGATACACGTTGTTTTGGAATATCCCTTGGCCGTTTTTGAGGAATCATGATGACGTGTGCGAAGTGCTGTTTTGTTGAATGAAACTTTAACTCTACGTTGTTTCTTTCAGATATCGCGTATTCGCTTGAAATTATTTTATTAGTTGTTCGTTTTGTTGTACAAGATTCTTGAATATCATCAGTAATGGAAAGAGAAAGTTTACTGAATGTTGATTCTACAGTTGTATTTCGAAAGAATTTATTCATTGAAGAATTGTCCAAGTATTTTAGACTTTTAAACGTACTATGTTTTAATTCAAATAATTTCCACGTGGACATGCACAGCTATTACAACGATTAAATTCATTGCACAGGATTTTAAAAGATTATTAGACTTGGAACTTGCAGTTTTTACAAACGCTGCTTTGACAGTCTTTTTTCGGGGAAATTTACTAGAGAGCTATTCACATATTTGAAAAAAATACAAATGTATGGCTGTGAGGATAATGATGAGGATAAAAACTTCACAAAATTTTATACTCTAATTTTTCAGGTTTCTGAGTTATTATTTTTGATAGGTTTAGTGCTATCGCAGAGCAAGGTCGATTCTAAATGGTCTATCAATGAAAAATACGTATTCATTTTATTATTTTTATAAATCTAGCATAACATTAAGTTAATCATTGGAAGACAATCTACAAATCCACGTGGAGATTGTTATAATCAAATATACAATATTTTGGAGTAACTATATATGGTTAAAGTTTCATTTAAGAAAACGATTTTTCATGTGCACCGGAATAATATCTTGAATTTTTTGACTGCATTATTGTACTGTGCACATGTTTTCCAAATATACACACGTTATACACTTCTTCAGCTAATAATTATAAGACATCGTCATAACAAAATTAAAATTAACATTAACTAAATAATTTTGCATTTAGAAGATTCTAAAAATCGGATACTTTGAGTTTAGTATTATTTATGAATATTAAACAGATAATGGAATATATAATATTTATGTATAGGAAATGAATAAAAATGAATATTAAGCTAATAAATGCAATTGAAATATGATTAAAACTTTTTTTCTTAATTCCTACATATAACAACATTTTATAATTTTATAACAAGATATTTGATTCGATAAGCAACAGTATTCGTTGAATTTGTCACCGAAAATTATGTTCTGTGTCGTGTAAAAAACATGTTATTCATTGCGTTGTTCCAACGAATTACGGTAGAAAATAGTCTTCTGTAATATTTGATATACTATTTGAAACGCCTATACGTATTCTTGATTTTCCCACAAATATTTGTCTGAAATACACCGACGCATAGAGTACGATTTTTACCTATCATTTTTAAGTATTAAATTAAGAGAAATAATTTTTGAGAAATTCTATATAATAAAACTTGATGTGTAAGTTCAATTTTTTAAAAATGATTCTAATATATTGGGAAGATACAAACTTATTTTCTAGAAAATTAAGCAATGAATTTTTCGTTTGGGATATTATACTTGAAGCAAAGACAGTATAATTGCCAATTTGATTAAGAATCTTGAAAATTTATAAAAGACGAATAGTGAACAGTGGCGCTAAAGAAATTATAAAAATTACTATCTGATAAATGATACTCCAGATTTTTTAATAATTTAAATACGTTAAAAATTGTGTTACACTTTTTGTAACGATTATATGAAAAGGATCGTATATATATTTAATGTAACTGATAATTTTACTCTTTCAACAAGCATACTAAAACGACAAAGAAACTGTACAACTCTATTGTTGGAAACTTATATTTGGCCATCTTTAGATAAGTGGATTCGCATTTTCAGGGGTTTACAACAACTTTTCCATCAAGATTCGACAAAACAATTATACTTTACGAACTTCTTACGACACTACGTATGTATTATACTTATAAAGTTTCTTTCTCCAAGTCAAACGAAAAGTTTACAATCATTGAATAAACAAACTTATCACTTCACAGTGATAATTTTGATCAATTAAGAAAATCATAGAAAATTTTTAAATTTTACATAGAAATCGATCATTTCTAAGTACAAGGCCAACATTTTCAAATCGAACATAAATAAATACTTTAATAATAGTCTTAGTAACAAAATTACGAGGAACAGAAGCTAAATAAAAAAAGGTACCGACTCAAACTATGGTTACATACCATTGAATAATTAACCGCTTGTCCAACAATTTGTACTGACATAATTTTCTATGTAACTCTGATATGAATTAAACAACAAAAATAAATTTCCCGCAATAAATACTAGTCCCTTAACCCATCATACGTGATAACTTCTCCGATTTACGAAGAGTTTTGGTTTTTTTGACAAAGTAAATCTGCATTGATAAAATCGCACACTATGCGACGGTCGCGGTAGCTGTCCACCCCACTACAATCACTGTAGATTGGTGATATTTGGGTACTTGGACTCGGGTGGACAGCTGCTGTGACTATCCGTACAGCTCAGGACTTTTCGTTCGAAAAACAAGCCATGGAATACCTAAACTTCGATACCTAACATTTGAGAATAAGGATGTGAAGCATATTGACACAAAACGATCTCTTGTTTTCATTCGATAGCTGATGGTTCAAAGCATGAATGCTTTCTTTTTAAACAACTTAATGCTACTATGTCTGGTAAAAAATGTTGAATTAGTTGTACTGAACCAATTACAGTAGAAACTATTGATTAATGAAGAAACGATTACTTTCAGTAAAAGAAAAGGAAGTGGAATCGAAGAACTAATGTTAATCATACGTTATTTCAAATCTAATGATTTATTTTTCTCTGTAGAGTACAAAATGAATAATAAATAACATACTTGGCAAAAACGTTTAAATATAGAGGTATATTCTTTTATCATTTTTATTCTTTAGCAATGGAATCAATCTTCTGAAACATTTTCAACCAGATAGTAAGACACAAGATGTACAAACTGAAGTCATTGTGTACTTACTACTTAATCGGCACATTTAATCGACAGATATATTAAATCAATACGTAACGCCATTTTAAACCTCACGACTCAAAAGTTCCAAGTCATAGAATAGAAATTTGAGAATTATATTTTCTCGTTAGGAAAACTGTAAAACAGAAGATATACGAAAGGAGCATAAAAGGAGCGCTATATAAATATATTAATTTGGAACATTTAAGGGCAATTCAAGTGTGATACAGTCAACGACTCGATCGACAAATGACTTCAATTTCTGTTCCTTCTTGTGTTTCAACGGGAGCTATCGAATTTGATCCACGAGCAACTGCATCGATCGCGGTTGTGTCAACTTCTCTTTCTCTTCTGTCGGCTGAGAGCGGCGCGAAGAAGTACGCCGTCCGTTCGTCATACGAAAAACTCATACGAGAAATCGAAAAATCCGTGTCATCGCGGCTGTTCAGACCAGTTCGTACAACTTAAAAATTGTTGCGCCGTTGCATTACCGTGTGCGCCCGATGCAACCCGATCATCTCGCGCGTTCTGTTACACAGTAATGTCCCGCGGCAATTATTTCGACAAGCGCCAGCCGAAATGTGAGAAAGTACTTGAATCATACAAACTCTGATTTATATCCAATTATGAAATTAGTGTTCTCCATTGAATATATTTCTATTTTGCTATTGAATACCGAATTTCCTTTCGCGCTTATTGTGCTTTGTTCTATTGAGGTTTCAGTTCCTTGTAGGACATTATTGGAATTCGAATATTAATTGTTTGGAATTCAATGTACTAGAATTTGGATGAATTTTAATAGGATTTTTGGTTAATTTGGAAACTAGTAGAATTCTTAACGGAGAAAACAATACAATTCTTCTGAATTAATGTATAAAAGTCTGTATTTTCATAAAAATTCGCACTTTAAGAGTAACGCATGAAATTATTAATGGGTTAGGTACCAATTAACAATGGAACTACCTTGCAGCTAAATAAACTAATTCGTATTTTCTCATATAAATTGCAACAGTGGTTTTGTCGCAATTTCGGTTCACTTGTATGCCGGTATACGTATAAGCGAGTCGTGTGTTTTGATAACTTACGCTAGTTTTAATGGTAATAACCATTTAATCAGTATCTCATGTAAAACCATGTGTTCGAAAACGATGGAACAAATGTCTGTCAGCTACTTTGAACCGTTTATTTCGATGCAATACATTTTTCAATGCAATGAATTTTACAACACGCCAATTCGTTTACGAACCCACAAACAACCGTAGATATCAATTGAACTTGGAATACCGTCGAGCAAATAAATATTAGATTTCTGGTTTCAAATATGGCAAAATAATTTTATTGAAATAGAAAATATTTCGGAGCACTGTCGGGGATCATCAACAAATACGTGACAGCGCTGAACATTCGCAACGTAACGCAACGGAACGACGCAACAGGCTAACACGTAATTTCGATCGCTCTTCAACGCCAATGAACAACAGAAACAAAGTATTTTCGCGGTGAATGTGTAGTAGGTGTGCCTAAGTGTGTATATGTATATGACAGTGAGTATAAACAAAACGTATAACATAATAATGCACATGTATACTAATCACCATCACGCGTACATTTTGCTGATCACCGAAGAAGTCACTGCACGAAATACGACCGTCCGAAAACATTCACTCTATTTCCACGAATCTCATGGTCTTTATCCGTCTCTTAGGGAACGTGTCCTTATCACCAGCTGTTTGCACTAATAACCGCATAAATCGATTCCGGTGGTACGTCACGAGCAATCCATTCGAAAAGAGCGCGTTAGGCGACGAATAAACCTAACCTCAACGCGTGGCCTGTCACGCGGTCCGACAGCCACGGTAAACCCTCGGTAAACGGCGTAAACTCACGATGACAGTCGCCGAAATGTTTCGCTGGACGTCGGTTGATCGTTGCGGACGCGTGTCAAAAACCGTGTAGTCCGATGATTAAGGAAACAACGTGGCGCGGCGGATTCAAATTCAAACGAGACGGGAATCCCGCCACGGGCGAGGGATCGCTCTGACCTAACCTCTTGGCGTCTGATAATACCCGACAAGTACCTCAACTGGTGGCTCGGTTCACTCGGGTACGACTCTCTGGTAATGCACTAAACGTGGTGAGCCAGGTACAAGAGAGGGGTCAGTGCGAAAGGAATGCGGCAAGCCTGTGCGAGCAACCTCGTGGACATGCGAGTGCAGACTGATTGGAGTGTGAGGATACTTACCCACGAGTCGTGAGAACGGTGGCGGTGGTGGAGGCGAGGTAGAGGCGTGGAGAAACAAACCGGCGGCGGTGCTGGCGTGCGCGCGTGTTTTCCGCCGCCATTACTGGCGCCACTGTAGCGGCACTCCGTTACCGCGCTTGCGCGGCATGCGCACACACCCGATGCGCAACCATTATTGCGGCGCACCGTGGTTTAATCGTGCGTCAACAACGTAACCAGCAGCATCTCGAAACTTTATGCCCGCGCGATCTGTAAATCGTGCTGCTCGACGAGGACGTGTTCCATCACCATCGGTTTTCCAAGTTTTTGTGTAACAGTGGATTAGATCGACATGCGTTGCGCTCGGCACTCCTCGAATTCATTTTCACCATAGAATTATTGACTAGGTGGATAATCGTTTATCTATCATGTATTGCAGAATCGTCGGAGTGAAATATCTATTCGTTACTATGAATTATGTAGATGATCGGGGAAGAGAGCACGTTTGCAATAGCATTTCGCTGTGCTCGGAGTATGTTAACAATTTGATCGACAGAAAGTATTTCTGATTAAAATAAGTTGCTTCGGGGGAAACGTTCTGATTCGTTTGAATAGACTAGGTGATGGAATATTTTGATACATATGTTTTATTGAAATATACATTTTTATGAAACTACGATGACAGTTGTCAATTTCGAAATGAGGAGAATGAAATTTTATAGTTTCTTGTTGGAAAAAAGACACACATTTCATATTTAGAAGAATAATAAACTTGGACAAGTATTGATGATGGTATAATAAATTTGTACCATTTTGTTGCTAACCTTATTAAAAATCACAAATATACGAAAAAGTATATATAATAAATAATATCATTCGATGTAAGGAATATCTTTTTATAAACTGATCTTTTAGTAAACTACTAATATAATAAGTTTTTTGTAATTACAATCGAAAAAATTATCCAGATTAAATATTGAATACCTTACAAACTGTGAAACATATTTTCGGGGAAAATATCGAAAAAAATAGGTAAAATGATTAAATTTGGACTATATAAATTTGTTACTTTTACCCTTTTAATATAACTTATATTTCTAACACCGCGTTGAATAATTGTAAATTCTAATACAAATTTTATTGTGGCCATAATTTTTAAAATTACAGTTTTTAAATAACAATCTTTTGTTCATTTAATACATTTGGGTTAAATATATTTCATTACCTATAAACAATTTATTAAATTTGAATAAATATTTTTATTTCATTTAATATATAGTTAAATTTTATACTATATGAGTCTTAAAAGAGATATAAATATATTTAGATTAGCAAGCAGGTTGTACTTCATAGTCATAATAATAATTTTAAAAAATATATTTAAAAAATTTGGTAAAAATTGTAATATTAAAATTATTGAAAAAGTATTTGACTTGCGGATTATAATATCGATACACCGAAACTCGTTCTTGTTATGTACATTTACATTCGTTTTCAGGTATTATTTATATCATATATTCATTTTCGGACGTTCGATCATAAAATTTTATTATTCGTTCCTAAAAAAAATTTGCAAATCTTTCTTAAACATTCTTTAGTATATTTTCAGATTTCAATTGTGACTGCAAATTTTCCATCAATATTTATGACTTATTTTTCGTAACACCCTATAATAAATAAAATAATTAAGTAACATACAAAATATATAGAGGAATAAAAATTAGAAATTCTGAACAATGCCAACATACTAAATATGCTTGTTGTTCAATCGTTATAAAAGTGTATAATATATGAAATACAGAAACATAGAATTTGTCATTAACATTTTTATATAATACTGTGCTTGGAGAAAATATTACCAATGTGTATGCCTATATAAAATAATGGGGAACAATTACTTACGATACGCTGAGATACTACCGAAAAATGTCATCCAAATCTAAGTTCTCAGATTTCAACCAAATTTGGCGTAAAGTGAGAAGCTTGAGTAGTCCTTTTGTAAATATCTATAATTATATTTATAGAATTCAAGACCAGCTTTCCAAATAAGTACAATCGCTTTTATAATAGCTCAATGTCTCTGAAATAAAATGTAAAACAGGGAAGTTTGTGCAATGAACAATTAATTAAAAAAGGAAAAGTTTGCTACAGAAGCCGCTTTCAAGAAAATCATTGAGTATCATTAATCAAAACATATGTTCAGTATCACGTTTCGTAGTTCTAGAATGACGAATTCTTAGAACGAAATTACATGTATAAAAAAAGCTTCACTTATACCACAGCAACGTTCCTGTAATTTTCTAAAATTTTATTACTTTAACATAATTACTTGTAGCGTTGCAAGCGACATGCCTATTTAATATTCTGTATGCTTCCATTCATTTTCAAAATCTGTAACAAAATTACTTTCTTCAATGAATAATTTAAGGGCTGTTCCTATCCTACAATTTAAATTTACTTTTGTACGATATAAACTTCCAATGCATCCGTTGGATATCTCTGATGATTTATTTAAAATTTCTTCAGTATGTACGAGTATTAAGACGGAAAATTTGTCTATAATTACAAGTGTATCATACGTCTAATTGAAGTTTTCAGATTTTATGCAAAATTATATAAAGCTCGTAGAAATAAATGAAAATTTCTGAGAAAATTTAATAATGTGCGCTGATAAACTATTATTAAAGTTTACGAAAGAAGATTAAATTTATTAATTCTTTTCACTCAGTATGAAGTGTGTAAATCAGTACAATTTTTGTCAGTACTATAGGATACATAAACAAAATATCAGTTTTCGATTTCTAATATAAAATATATTTAGAAATTACAAGGTTTAAATACCAACAAAAAGCAATCGTGTTCTTATGCAAAAATTGTTCTTGTTATGAATGGAATTGTGACAACTATTTATTCAAATCATTTCATATTACCTTGCTTTTTTAACAATAATCGATCGAGGTTAAAGCCTTGAACACTAACATATTAACACATAGATGAACGTTTTATTTTTCAATTTAAAAGTATTATTACTCAGCAGTAGAAAAGTTGTGAAATATGCAATCGACATTAATAAAAAATCGACAGTTAAATAATCGTTGTACATGTTTTAATATTCAATTATTAAGTATTCCATAACAGAAAAGTTTCGAAAAAAATTTTAATGCGATTTACTAGTTTCACAACATTTTAAATCAATTCCCTTTCAAATTCGCTATTCAGTATACTTCGCATATACTGACACTAAAAATATTGAAACCAAAATTTTTAATAGAGTATAAAGTTATGTGTTCAAAACATCTTCTGTCGTATATATGATGCATCTGTTTATTACTAAAGGAAGGGAAAGTTAGAAAATTAAAAATTGATAGGATAACTTTACTCCTTAAATAAAGACAGATGTTTAATACTCTTGTTTTTCCTTGCTTAAAAATATTGCATATTAAGTGGAAGTTTCTTGAATCCAGCTGGGAAATAGAAGTTGCAATCTTGTCTTTCAACAACTTACGAATTCAGCTGTTTTTCTACAATTTCTAAAATAAATATTTTTATAGTTTCTTTATTATTTTTTGATATCTACACAAAATGCTCTTAACGTTTTTAAATATACATAATGTCTTACGCAAACATATTTGAAGAGTGTGGTATATAAAATTAAAATTTACTGTATATCTATTTCTTTTACTCAAAGATATCTGCTGAAAAATTTTATCTTGAGACACATACGTAAAGAATAGCGTAATTTCAATTTTCAGCTATAAATCTTTTATCAGATTAAATATTTAATCAAATTTTATTTAATTCACGTTATCCGAGAGGTTAACTCATCGTTTATATTCAGTTATAACAAAATTTTCATTTTTTCTCCAACAAGATAAGTAATTTTATAAAATCATTAGATGTCCTTAATTCCAATATCATAATCTCTTTAAATTTCTTATGCGTTGCAATTCTATTCAAAAAGCGTCAGATGATGTGATTAGTTTAAATGTAATAATTTTCAAATATATAGTCTCATAACGTAGAGGCCATGGCAAAATCTGGAACTTTGCCCCAGTCACTTTTCAGAGTTCATTATCAGATTATAGATTCCTCCGTATTAATTTTCGTTTCATTTCTGTTGTAGTCAAATTTCTTTTGCTTGCTCGATTTCTTAAAATTTCATTTTTTAATCTAGTGTCTTGTTATTGGTTTAATACTATATATAATACAACTTGTAGCCACATATTTCACGTATTATTAGCGACAGTAGGAAATATTTATATTTCGTGCGTATCAATGTGTTTAACGCAATTTCGCAAGAGACAACAGATATGCTGTTAGTATTTAAAATATTAGTGTTTATAAAATATGAAAACATGAAATCTTATTATTATTCAACAATGTATAAGTACATCAGGAATTGACAGTTATAATTTTAATTCTACTAATTGATTTAATAGAATTAACAATTTATTTATTTACACATTTTTCAAGTGTTTCTCAAATTCATTACAACTATGTAGTCTAGTATATGGTATTTAGATAAAGTTGAATATAGAAACGGAAAACAACTTTTTATTGCCATTTTGACATTTCAGACAAAATCTATTAACATTTATAAATATTTATTTAAACAGAATTTATCATTAATGATATTACGAAGCTTTTTCATATTTTCGCATAATTTTCAAACAGTTCATGAAGAACCTATCTTCTTATTCACAGATGTTTGAAATTAAAAATGATATACAATAGAAGCTATAGAATATGTGGGATAGACCAATCACTCAACGTGCATACATGTTCTCGTGTTGTTGCTGACAGAAACTCGTGAAAACACTCTACCATTGCTATAGTGTAATAGTATCGTACTCAATATTACAAATCACTATGAATTAATAAAGATGTCTACCTCGCGAATATTTATGTATACGTGAATACATTATTAAATACAATCGTGTTTAAATAAATATTTTATATCAGTATATTAAAAACATTGATGGATTTCAAAATTTCCAAATTGCACATAATGGAAGCAAATACATTACATACATGTGTGCACATGATTGCATAGAACACTGTTTTAAAAGTTATACCTATATAGAAAAAGCGAATTTTTAATTTATTAATACACGTTCTACGTGTACCCTTATCATACGCTCAAAATTTATTATTATACATGTAATTTTGTGATCGAATATTGTTTATATTTAAACGATAGTTTGTATAATCTGCTTTATCTGTTTTAATGGACACATTTTATTTTCAACATATTGAATCCTTTAAATTAAACAACGAAAAAAGTTTATTACTTTTCGTTATTATTTCAAATGCAACATATAATATTTACATAGTTACTATTACATTTAATAATTTGTTCACGAAAAATGTTAAGTTTCGTAAGGTAAAACTTTCACTAAATTTATTTGTTAAAAGAATTGTTATGAAAGTTTTCTTTACTGCATGTATTCTGTACTTTATGAATAAATTTTTCTTTTCTTTTTATGTATTGTAATAAATGAGAAGTAATATTTGTAACGTCGAGTATGTATTCCGGTTTTTGATTGCATTTAGAGCTTGCACTCGTCATTATTATAAAAGCATTTTATTTTGGACAATTTATAATTTTATTTTTATTCGATATATATTTTTTAATTTCAGAACTCTCATCACGTAGAGGCCGCTAAAACCAGGCTTCCATGTTGATATTGCAGATTCCGCAGTACTCGACAACTTGTAAGTTGATTTATTTTATATGTCGCCTTTATTTATAAAAATTTGTGATGTAATTAAAATAGACAAGTTTCCGTAATACAGAGGCAAAATTTTTAACTCGCCTGTAAAAAAATATTGCATGATATATTCTTTTTCTATATTTGATATTATTTTATATTGCAGCACATTTGTGACGTATGTTATGTATAAATATAAATATTTGTCTAATTAAATCTAAATAAGTTAAATAAACTTTCTGAATTTGTCGTTTATATCACGCAGAGGGCATTGAAATCACTCGATCTTCGTAAAGGTCGATATTACAGATTTCATAGGATAAGGCGTTCGTCACTTTTGATATTTAAGGTGTGCAATTATAAATATTACGCTTATTATTAATGGCACTAACGTGATGCAAGATTGACTAGACATTCAATGTAAATTTTTGTTACGCGGTTCAAAGGTTACGTGATTCTTTACCATACTCCTATCATTTACAACTTTACCAACAAAGTGTAAATGACACTGATTTTTTTAACGAATATCTATCGTAGACTTAAGATATGTATGCATCTTAATGGTGTCGGAATAATAGATCCTTGGCAATACAAATCTGCGATGTCCTACGATTCTACAAAATGTCCAATTAATTTTATAATTTTTTTATAACACCAGACGAAATGTATAATTTAATAATTCTGTTTAAAGGGTTCAATAATTTTTAATGAAATATTTTCTTCAATTGTTAATTTCGACTTAACAAATCTGTTATATTGTACATATGTAGCTATTAAATAATGGCAACAGTAAATAAAAAGATTCTATTCAATTCTATCTGATTTCTATATGAAAAACAAATTATAATTTTATATATAAAATGTTTATTTTCTTAAATACATTGAAAGATTTTTTAAACAGGAGTATTTCCTCTGTAATACTCCGATTATTCTCAAATTCCTTCAGATTTTTATTTCAAACTTCTAATATTTAAAAATTGCAAATATATTGAATATCGATTGTACCATTGTGCTTAATTATACCTCAATAACGTGCTCAATTATCTGTTTCTTCATTAAGATGTTTATTGTATTTCATATTGAGTATATTTACAATTTTCATTTCTCAATTATTTTCATTGACATCTGTTTATTGATTCTATAGCATAAACAGTTATTTTCAACGATAAGTGCTCCATAATTGCATACTTCAGTTGCTTTGTTTGTACAATTGATTGTTATTTCCTTTTAATGCCACTTAAACTGGCACATACTGTATGATATGCACATATTCGAATATCAGATACGGAGATGATCATAATAAAAAGCTGAATTAATTAATGAAACGGTCTCAACTTCGTTTTGCAGTCCAAGTTGAGTAATTGCAAATTGTATAGCCTATCCTTGTGTTATACATTACAATATACAACGTAACAAAACAATTTTACAAATGTTTACAATTCTCCTAAATATTGAATATGTAACACATATTACGAAATTGTATACATTTTATATGTATGATATAAAAGGACACTCGTTTATTGAGACATTAACTGACTACAATTAATAATATCATTTAAATACATATAAATTCCTTTTTCATAGTACTGTGTGCAACAGGCCTGTTCATTCCTCAAAATTAAGTACTTTTACGCTTAATTTCTGCACTAAATGTAGCATGGTAAAATAATTGATTTATAATCTCATGTAACATGTATGGTTGCGTCAGACGTGAATACGGCTACAATAGAAGGTTGAATCACATGAATTCTCATGGAATTACGCAGTTCTGAATAAATTACAGAAATATATTCTTTTACACTTTTTGTATTTTCTTTTTACATTATATGTCACAAAAAATACTTGAAACATTTTCTAAATACATATATGTATATTTAATAGATTGATAAGACTCATATTGTTTCTGTACATAGTATATACTAATGTTTCTTTTACATTGCTTGAAGCAAATAAAAATCCTCACAAATATGTAAACAATTTTTGGTCTTCGTAGTCATATCGCATTGATACTTGGAAAACATAATAATATTACAATAACCTAGTTTCAATCATGCTGTCGCCTAAAAGTTTGGGGTCACTACGTTGTTGTTTACTGTATTGTGAACTTTTAGTAACTTTTACGAATACTTATGGCAATTCATTTTAACGACAGTACTCTCACGGCTGGAAATGTATTTTGTAAAAGATATTTAACAAAATAAAAAGCAAAAAGATTAAAAATAAAATAAATAGAATTAGAGACTTTTATAAGAAAAATAATGATACTCGATACGAATTGTTTACTTACTCAAAGATTTACATACTTAATTGTACTATATTCATTGTCTTATTAAGAACTGAATGTTTGTTAAGAATTTCTAAAAGTTTACAAATCTTTAATATGCATGTAAATAGTGAATGTGGAATAATCTAAAACTCCAAAATTTTTTGCAACAGCATATATTGATAAAGAAAGGTACCTCATTAATCTTAAAGAGAACTTTTAAGTAAACAGTTATACACGGTGTATCTCGTTTTATCGAACTAAACACATTGTTTCGCGACTCATCCTTTTTCTGTAAAAAAGTACAAATATGATATTTCAATTGAATTCATTATGTTTCTTAAATTGTTATCGATCATTTACAAATTCCATTTTGTTGTATCCTCGGTACTTCCATGAAAAAATAATTTATTACAATTATTCGTATTATACAATATATTTGGTATTTGTATCGGCTATAAGAGTAAGCGGAGCACCACTAATATCGCCAGGAACTTTGTAAGACACGTGTCTGCATAGGACTGTGCATTATTCGCCAAATATTTCCCTGGAAATAAATATCTAATTAATAACAAATTAAATCATTCTTATCGTGATGTGTTCGTTTATAGTGGTACTTTTGCATTAGATGATTATTCCAGTTTATGTATTAAGAAAGTGTTACGTAAAGTGAAGTGTTAAAAAATAGTGATTATAAATGAATCCATTCGCGTAGAATTTTATAATTATGATTTTCCCATTATTCTTAGTTTTTCAAATGTAATTCAGAAAGTTTATATTGTAGAGAAATTAAATTTTCGAATAAGATGACTCTGTATTCTTGAATCTATATCGAAATTTATACTTTCATTTGTATATTTAGGTAATTGAAAAGCCGCCAATTAAGAACAGAAGTATATACCAATACCCGAGTATTTTCGCTTATTATCCCATGCGATTGCATTGTATAATTAAAAAAATAATACTTACAGTAAGAAGCTAAGTAAGAATGACAACAGCATTCCCGTAACCTCGCGTATTCAGCACAGTCCCCGGCGTGCACTTTACATTCTTCTGGTCCCACGCGACAAGTGTGCTTGACGAAAGGGAATACCTCTAAAACAATAGACTGATAAATATACGAAACACGATCTTCTTCACTTTGCATGAGAAAAAGTTGCAATCAATGAAAATCAAAGAGACATTAGAAGTATACACGGTGATCAAATTGTTCTTTAAGTACATATATATCAAAATTCCATGCAACCAGTTAAGATTCCAACTGTTTCAGTGCAACATAACAAAAATTAATTGACTGAATTTCTAATGATATCATTATTAAACTAATTGAAGTTATAATGTCTTTGCAATTAAAAGGTTATTGTCATTCTGTTCATTCGTAATTACTCAGTACTTGTAATAACCGTTGCTGTGAAAATGTTAGAATTGCGTGTTTATTTGTATTCAATATAGTGTACGTAAAGAATAACATGCAATGTCATATACTAAAATTTACTGAAATGTATTTGATTTGATGAAATAATAAAATATCTTATGAATAGTAATTTAAAATAAATAAATCAATAATAATAATGATAACTGAAAATTTCCAATTATTTTTAAATTATAATTCTCATATGATAGTTATTGATTTATATATTTTTAAACTATCAATATTGGTGTTATGTATCGTCATCGATCGATGAAGCTATCGAATACGAAATGAAATATCATTGTATCATCTTGGGTCGACAACCAATTCACGTAACGTATTGTTGAAGGTTTCCGGTTCCGTCTCGATTCCGGACGACATAACAGCTTGGCAACAGAATTGAATTTACTTGCGAATTTTTCAATTTTATGTTCATCATTAATACTACAACTACAGAGCATTTAATATGATTGGTATTTAATTCTTATAAAAATTGTAACAATCGATTTTTTTTTCGATTTCTTTAGACATTCATTGTAGTAGTATCCAAGTAAAACTATTCATTTCTGAAATCGTTTGTAGATATTACTTCCCTTTCGATTGATACGATCATCAACAGAAATTAAAAATCAAAACAATTGTTATGAATATCATATATTTTATTCATATTTACTTATAATTAATTTTACATTAATTTTATACATTCTTTTTTAAGTGTGTAAAGTAAATATTCCTGTTTAATTAACAGGAATATTTATAGGAGTATTTGTTCCATGTTTTTAGTTGAATTAGAAAAAAGTATCTACCTAATAGAAAATTCTGTGCATGTTTAAACAAAGTTTTGTAATATATTTATAAAAGAACTATAACAGTAAAAGGGTAAAGAAATAGATCGATATTTTATCTGTAATCAGTATAAAGCATTCTTTCCCACTTTTCGTTTCTAAGTTGGTTGAATTTAATATCTTTATTACTTGAAATATTTGACAATATATAATAATACATAATAACTTTAACACATATCATAATAAGGTATATTTTCTTGTACATATAAAAAGTACTGTTGAAAGGGGGGTATTCCCTACCATATAAAATGAAAACTACTTAAAATAAATAATTGATTTCTTAGGTTTTGCAGAAAATCTGTCTATAAAAATGATTGAAAATTTGTATCCCCATCTTCTGGCTATTGAATAGTTACTCAAAACTTTAAAAGATAGAAGATAATTTATGTAACTGGGACAGCTCATATCTCCCTATTTCAATTACAGATAATAGAAATGGTTACAAAGAAGAATGGTTTAATTACCTTCCCTATAGTCACAGTAAACTTTTTATGTTTTCTCTTAAAAGAATAAAATATAACTATGCTTCTAAATTGTATTAGTACGAATACATGAAAATTGGGAAGATAACATATGCTTTGAATTCTGAATAAAAAAGAAAGATGACCAAAGCATATAATTACACATTTTTATTCGAACTATATAGTACATTCTATTATACGTATTCGCTATTTTCGTGGACTAAAATAAAAACGAAGTATTTTCAAACAATCTCTTGTAAGCAATTTCAACTTGTCTTGTTATTTCTAGAAAAACTTAAATTGATTTAGAACATTTTTACTGTTACTGTTAATTACTATCCAGAGTAAGAATCAACTGTGATGACTTGAATGCCTTCATTTAACACCGTGTACCACTCGTAAGCTCTTATACAGAATAAACATTGATCATTAAAACATCTCTGCAATACATTTTGCGTTTCGATGGAAGAAATTCGATGCTGAGAATTCAGTGCAAATTCTTTGTTCAAAGAAATTGGGCACACTAAAAATCATTAATACTTCTTACATATATTACATTACATAAATCTAAATATATTTGTCGAAAACGAGTGTCCCGAAATCCTCTTATCGCTTCCTCAGAAATGAGGTACACCTTTTCAATGCACTAATGTTGATCGCCCGCGCACATAATGAACTATTATAGCGAAATTAGCTGAATTAAAATTTGCATTTATATCGCATCCATCACACTCTCTACACATCTCCTCCGTAAATTATCTCTTCCGCCATTTAGAACTGTTTCTGAAGATTAAGATGTTCCGTGTGCAAAAAGTGATAACCGTCGTAAATCATTCAAAGAATCAGTTTAATCAGAACACGCTAACTTTTATAGAAAGTATGATATTACATATTATCTATGATATATTTTTAGTATAATAGTAATATATGATATATATATAATATAATATAAAATATATTACATGGTCATTATCTCGCTGAGAAAAACGTTTATTACAAAAATGCAAGTTTCAATTTGAAATTATTATTTTTCAAGAAAATCGATTTTATTCAGATCCATATAAACAGAAATTTCATGTGCTAAAACTGGATAAAATCATTATGTAATCTGGAGATATAGTTTGAAAAATACTTAATGAAATAAGTATAAAATCTACAGATGTAATTTAAAGTTTGCACGGTAACGATCAGAATGCTTAAGGTGCGAGTGCTATACAATTTTTATTGGTCTCATTGTCAGTATGAGCATTGATTTCAATTGCGTCGCAGTCCCGTTTAATCGTTTGAGTTGAATAGAAAAGTGCAGGGAAGAAGGTGCGATTCGTATGACTGATCGAAACGAACTCACGTATTCGATACGTGCTGCGTGGTGCGTGGTGCGTGCAGTAACGCAATTTTATTGATACTGTCATTGTTACTGCTGTTCTCGTATCCACTTGACGTGCGTTAACAGTGAATATTGTGTTGTGAATATTGAACTGATATGTTATACAACCATATAGGGTACATTTATTCGAAAAATATTAATATTGCTGTTGTTGTGTTCAAATAATACGAAATCAATATCATATTTAGCGTTCTGAGTCAATTTATAATAAACTACCGGATTCAAATTTCAAAAAAATTTGTGAATTTTAAACTTGATTAATTCTTTTGAAATTTTTTGATTTTATAGATTTTTGATTTTTCTTGATTTTATAAAAATATATAATTATAATTATATACTCCATACTCCAAGTATACTCGATACTTCAAGTAACGAATAAATTATTATTTGATTGACATTGTATAAATTAACACCGAATATAATTTACTTGTTCTTCTTGTTTGATCTCCATTATCTATATAAAATTATGCCTAGCACTGGCCATAACTGATTATTAACAACCATTAATTTAAACCTTTTAAGCGTATTTGAACCATTTCAGCCCTTTGCTACCAGAATCTGATTCCATTAGTTTGATGCGAAGGGTTTGACGTTTTCTTATAAGAAGTAGAAAAAAGAGTTCTCAGCTGTTCGTTGACTAAACCAAAACTAAGTAGAAACGAAAAAGGAAATGTCCTTTATACGCATTATGATAGTTTGAAAACAAATATTATTTGCTTCGAAGAAAACAACTTTTTAGTAACTACGTACAAAAAACGTAAAAACTTTTTGCATCAACCCAATACTACTGACTCTATCATCATCTGATAATGATACTTCAAATATTACATTGTTCCAAAAGATTTCTTCGTTTTATTCATACATAATGAATACTCAGTAATTTATGTTTTATGTCTTGTTATTGAACTATGCCGTATAATCCACACTAATCTATTGCCTCCTTTCATTTTTCAATTTCATTTTCAAGTCTCACGATGCCGTCTTTCCGAAATTTCGGCTGGATTAAACATTGCGAGCAGAGCGCCAAAGAAATTTACGAAACAACCTAACGAAGAGTTTAAGAACTCGAGACTCAATGAAAAAAAGAAATACAACGTTCGATTCAAACATCCAATCCGATTTGCGTTTCAAGTCGTTCGACTTGATTCTTGTTTATTGAAGTACAAGCAGAATCGAATTTCAAACCGTTCAAATATCCCGCCGAGTTCGAAACTAAATCTATCATTAGACACAACAGGTTTGTGACTTCGTCGTTAATAAAACTCACGTGTTTCATATGATGCATCATCAACCATTTATAGTTGACTAATATACATGAGATACCAGTAACGTCGAATAGCCTGACACAGGTCCGGTAATTTCAAACGTTCTCGATGCGTAATTTTTTAGCAAATAAATTAATTTCTCAATAAGAAAGGAACAAGTGATTGTCACTATGTAATAAGTTCCATCATTGATGGTACTTAAAACATGTAAGCGAGAAAGAAGAAATTGTTTAAAATTAAAAATGGATAGGTAATATTTATTAATGATGTTTAATAAAATTTAAAAAGGTTCAACGATGTTTAATAGAAAATATATTTGTTTCGTGTTTTGGAAATTTGATTGTGTAAACAGTTAAAGCTATTATTAGGTTCAGCTTATTAGTTTAATAGAATATTGGAACAAAGCGAACGGCCACAAGAAGAAACACGTAAAAAGTTTCTTCCGCCATTTTTTAAGTATTAAATTCTACATTTCATATTTGAAATAAACGTATTTTACAGTGCGAAATTGTGCTGTAATAAATCGGTATAATACAAAGTATAATTTAAATAATTTTTGTATTTTAACAGTAAACATTCGTATAACACAAACAGAACATTATTTTCGTGAAAAATCTCGCTCTAACTATATCCATAGTTGCATTTTTTATACTGCAATTCTACTGTTCACAATTGTATTATTTAACAGGTATATGTACAATTAATTTTAACAAATAAACCGTAGCGAATTTGACTAACATTATGAATGATATTAGAATACAATTGATAGATCATTAAAATAATATTAATAATTCAACGAATGGTAAAAGATAGTTACAATGAAGTATAACAAAGTAACCGCTATTCAAACTGGATAAACGATGGATTAAATCCTGAAGCAAGGTCGCGCGAAGATATGTTAATTACAAATTTAAGCAAATAGATTTTGAGGCCAATGACCGATAGCTGTGTAAAGAGCTCAGAGGAAGAACGCGCGGAATACCAAGTATCTCTGTTCACAGATACGGCATTGTTTCGTGTGAGTCACCCGGTATAACCATCTTATGCCGCTGACATTAACATGCGTGTGAAAAACAAGGATAGAATCTTACAGCGAACGATAATTTCCTGAACAGGTGATTGTCCTTCCGTTCAGCTGTATTTAAAGGTGTCATGGAATTTATGCATTTTTCACTGATCGTAGGTAAAATACTTTCCCTGCCCACAAGAGTATTTTCTATTTTATACAAATGTAACCGATACCAGTATTAAAAAGGCTTAAAAAGTCTTATTCATTAATTTTATCTTTTTAATGGGCCGAGTGTCCCTTAACACTTTATCTACCGAATGCCCAATAATAGGCTTCTCAATAACTGCACTATGTAAAAAATAAGTTCAATCATTTCCTTGTATATAATAGTCTTAAGAAAAATTATTGTATTATGTTAAACGAGATAATTTACCGATTTACAATTATAATTGCTATTGCTACTGGAAACATTCTTAAAAAATCCTCAGCTCTTAATAATTGATCTTTAAAAGTTCACTAGATCTATATAATAAATCGATTACGTAAAGAGAAAAAGCATTTATTTTTGATTATTGTTGTAAACAGTAAACAATAATAAACACTAAAGTGTAAGCTTATTGAAAAATAAACCAATACATATATTGGTAAATTAAATGATTAAATGAAAATGAAAGAACGACAAAAATGAATATAATAACTTTTTATCGTTTTATTTTTGAATCTTACATTTTCTTTAATATGATACACATATCGAATAAGCAACAAGAATTTCTGGTGAAATATTTATTATTTAAATATTTCAGACAGTATTAAAATATTTAAAATACCAGTAAAGAGTGTTCTAATCTGGAACGTATATCAACACCCTTCTTTCAATATATTTTCGAAGCTAAAGTTTCTTTTCCTACAGCGGCACTAATTGTTATGCTATCCCCATTATGAACAAAACAACTGCTGCGGCAGTCAGGGTCAACAATTCTATGCAGACCAACCCAATGCTCCGAAAAAAGCAGTGACACAGAAAAAGAAAACTCATTAAACCATATAAAGTTTTTCCGTGCCACTCTTTTTTTTACCTGAGATCACCTTGCAATCGCATAGTCAGTGAAAATATATACCAGCTTCGAAGAGAACATTTATATTTATTTAAATTCGAATTATCTAAAAACAAAAGAAACTTTACATGAGAAATAAAAAATAAAACTAACGCTCACACGAGGTTGTACGACAAAATGTTTTAGATACGCATAATATTAATACTTTAGCGTTTTCTCTTCACACTTCATTCCCTTCCTTTTTACGTTTATCTTATTTTACTTCTATGAAAATAATACATGAAAACCAAATCATTATGTTACATTAAATTTCTCTTAATCATCGTTCAATGTTTCTGTCAAATTGATAAAAGACAAACATTATCTTTTATATGTTAATGCTAAATAAAGTTTAATTATAAAAGCAGAATTTACAATCAATAATGAAAGTTTAATTCTAAATGAATTTATTACTAACAGTTTGGGTGTACGCATTAGAATTTATTTATTTGTTATCAATTCTCTGTTTAAGTTCTCTTTGAATTACAATCTAATTCAGTTGACAGAATAATAATGTATGAGTTACCTAATCAATAGATAAGGGTTAAATAAATCTGTTCATCTGACTCAATGAAATTACGTTAACTTGATTCGTTTAGGGTGATACTCTAATAGGTTAAAGTACAACTGTCTCAATTTGATAATTATTCAACGCGAATGAGTGATTTCAACTTCGTACTATTTATATAGTCCATGTTATACGTAATGAACGTCTTTGTCGCTACTTGCACGTAAGACAAACGTTTTTAACAACTTTGTACTGTATGTGTTAAGTTATTATTACTTACGTTCTACTACAAACAGAAGACAATTAATCACATAAGTAGAAACAAGTTGCGAAAAGAAAAGAATATTTTAATGTTATTTCAGTGCAGCGATTAATTAAGTATTCGATTCAATCAGAATCGTTGTTTATAATTATTTTTATTAAATTTATATAATTATACACTTAGGTATATTTAAAATGATTAATTCGATATATCGTTAGTTCAATAGGTTCTTAGACAAAAATTGTCTGTAATTGAAATTAGAAATAAGTTTGCACGTTATAGATAATTAGAAAAAGTTAAATAAATAAATTGCTGGAGAAACGGTGCTCGAGTGAATTTAAATTATAGAACTCATTATCATTTTAATATATATTTAACCATGCTTCCATCAATTGGTCATAGCGTAGTGATATATTTACTATTCATATTTTCCTTACATCCTTCATTAAAACAAGTATTTTATTGTTCATTGTACCGGTACATTATTCTTCGCTTTTCGTGTAACCGTGACTTTTTCGTAACACAAAAGGAAGAACGTGCATTCATGCGATTTTAATCATATGCCTCTGATTCAGATTACGGGATCTATTACTTTGTGATACGAATTATAGGCATTGGGGCGGTTCTAGGTTCCATTATCATCATTGGACATTTCCGTAAAGAGTTGCATAATGAAGCCGACTGTGTTTGCACGGTCAATCCTTTACGCACGAATTGCCTACCCGCGGTTACCGTTTTCAAGCGATTTCTAAACAGAAATAAACGAAGGACACTGAGGACCACGTGACTGATACACAGCAAGAAAACTAATAAGAATCAAAGAAATCGTGTGATATCAAGGCAATCGCTCCATATAGCTTAAAATGATTAAAATATAAATAGCACATCTTAAGAAAAGAAAATTTCTTTATTATACACTTCAATTTTATCAAGAATCAAGATAAATATTAACACGA